ACACCGGGATCACACCGGGATCACACCGGGATCACACAGGGATCCTGCATCCCCTCACACCGGGATCACACCGGGATCACACCGGGATCACACAGGGATCACACAGGGATCCTGCATCCCCTCACACTGGGATCACACAGGGATCACACAGGGATCACACAGGCAGCCTGCATCCCCTCACACCGGGATCACACCGGGATCACACAGGGATCACACAGGGATCACACAGGGATCCTGCATCCCCTCACACCAGGATCACACCGGGATCACACAGGGATCCTGCATCCCCTCACACCGGGATCACACCGGGATCACACAGGGATCACACCAGGATCACACAAGGATCATACAGGGATCCTGCATCCCCTCACACCAGGATCACACCGGGATCACACAGGGATCACACAGGGATCCTGCAGTTCCTCACACCAGGATCACACAGGGATCACACCGGGATCACACAGGGATCACACAGGGATCACACAGGGATCCTGCAGTTCCTTGCACCAGGATTTAGTCACTCCTTGCACCAGGATCCTGCAGCTGGTTGTGCCCATGGAGGGGAGCCATGGCCTCGAGGCACGGGGGGCTTTGTTCCCTCTTTAGGGGCCCTCAGGGTGTGCCAGGGAAGCTGTGCCAGGAGATCTGGGGTGAGATGAATTGGGGACAGGGGGCTGCAGGAGGAGGGGGCGGTGGGGACCCTGTCCAGCTGCAGCCAGGGCACTCCATGGCACCTCGAGTCCCCAGGTGACCCTGTCACCTCCCTGCCTGTGGCCACAGGATGGGGTTTCAGTGGCCAGGACCATCCTGCTGGCAGATTTGCCTGGAAACAGCGGATTTTTGGGACCTCCTGAGCATCACCCACACTGGACCTCAAGGACAGCTTCAGGTCACCCTGCACCACCCCAATCCATCTGACCCTGCTCCTCTCGGGACCACCCACATCTCAAATCCCTCCTTCTCTCCCTCTTTGGAGGCTGCAGCCATGAGTTTTTCCCCTGGAGAACAAACCCAGGGTGTTTTCCTCAACCTGAGCATCTTTGCTTTAATTCCTGATTTAATCCCTCATTTATTTGCAAATACACGTGGGCAAGTCCCCCTTGGAAACAGAAAAAAAAAAACCAAGGAACCTGGAGCTGTTCACACACAGCTGCTCCTGCTCCAAACTGGTTCCTGAAGCCTCCAGCAAGGGCTCAGCCTGAAATTCTCCCACTCATCCCAGTCTCCCAGCCAGCTCCAGCAGGGATCTGGGTGCCATGAAAAATAATTTTCAAAAGACCCCAAATTTGTCATTGCCTCAATCCAGAAACTCAGGGAGCGCCTGGCAACCTCAAGCACGGGTTGGATTCACAGTCCTTTATTCACTGCTCATCACCACACCCGGATCTGAGGGAGGAGAAGGTTATTCCAGGGATAAAATCCCCTGTGGATGGTGCTCAGCATCCCTAGGATGCCGTGGCAAAGCCCACCCTGTTGTTGGCCACGTCGAAGATGGAATAATACTGCCTGAGGAAGAGATTCCCGAGGATCCAGAGGGGCTGGCCACTGGCAGAGGACACATAGGTGCTCTCCACCCCCACGGTGCAAATCCCATCATCCTGGGGAGGAAAAAAAAGCCAATTCCAGCACAGTTCCCAAACCAATTCCCTCCCCACGGCCACAGGCAAGCAGCAGAAGCTCCGGGAAATGGGGTGCTGGAAAGAAACTCTGATTTTCTACTGGGCAGAACTGCAGATTCCTGCTGGGATGGGGAAATCCCACCTACCTGCAGGACATAAACAGCGGGAGGCAGCGGGATCCAGGCTCCAGCGATGGCAAAGTAGAGGGTGGGCATTTCTGGGATGGTGCTGCAGTCAACGAGGAACTGCAGGAGAGGCAGGGAGGGGTCAGGACACCCTGGACTGACACTGGCCTTTGGCCAGTGGTCACCACAGCCACGCTCCCTAAGGGTCAGCACAGCCCTGATGGTGCCAGACCCACATTTACCAAATTATTTCATTTTTCCCCCACTGCAGGGCTGTTCCAGGGCTGTTCCTGAAGCAGCCAGACCCACATTTACCAAATTATTTCATTTTTCCCCCACTGCAGGGCTGTTCCAGGGCTGTTCCTGAAGCAGCCAGACCCACATTTACCAAATTATTTCATTTTTCCCCCACTGCAGGGCTGTTCTTGATGGAGCCAGAACCATATTTTTTATTTTTTCCCCACTGCAGGGCTGTTCTTGATGGTGCCAGACCCACATTTACCAAATTATTTCATTTTTCCCCCATCTCAGGCCTGTTCCAGGTGGGATATTTTGCTCTTTTGGGAACACTGGGATCTCAGCACCATCCTCACCCTGCCCCACCTACCCCATCGTCGCTCTCCTGGGCGCCCAGAGCCTGCAGCAGGGCTGGCAGGAGGGGACCTGGGACGGTGAGCAGGAAGGTCCCCGTGTCCACAATCCCGTGACAACCTTGGCTGCACCAGCCAGTGACCTCCATCCCCACGGAGAACCTGGAAAAGCAGCAGGAAAAGGCTTGGGAAACCTTCCCAAAGCTTTCCCAAACCCGCTCCGAGCCGTGGCGCAGCGCTCACCCCTCGATGTTGATCTTCCAGTACAATTCCTGGATCACTGGAGCCCATAAAACCTCCCCGGAGAAGAGCTGGGGGTCAACCCCCCCCAGGATGACTTCCCCACCGTAATTGTATGTTGGGTTGCTGGAAAGACACAAAATCAGCCCCAAAATCTGAATAAAATCAGCCCCAAATGTGAATTTCTGCTCCACAATGACTTCCCCACCATAATTATATGTCAGGATTGCTGGAAAGACACGAAATCAGCCCCAAAATCTGAAATCAGCCCAAAATCTTAATAAAACCAGCCCCAAAATTGGAATTTCTGCCCCACAGAAAGCTGAGGAGCACGGAGAAGGTGCGGATGGAGGGAAGGATGGATCCTGGGGTTCTCACCGGGAGAAGTAGAAGCTGAAGATGGGTTTGCTGAGCTGCTCCTGCCACAGCAAATTCTGCAGCAACGTGGGGAAACCAGGGATGGCAACGCCCGGGTAAGCCAGGCCCAAAATCCCATCGAAATCCAGGTAGTAGAAGGGTCTGCTGGGCTCATCCAGGCTCAGGCCGAATTCCTGGTTGCTGAGGGTGATGTTCTGGATCTGCAGGGAGAGGGAAGGTGCTGGGAGATGTCAGGAATTGGTCCCAAAGGTGAATCTGCCCTGGGAGAGGCTGAGCCCATCGCTGCTGGGGTCAGGAGCAGCCTGACTCGCAGTTCTGTCCCCTCATCCTTTTTGTTCTACAGAAATAAAACACCCACAAACCCAGTTTTGCCTCTTAAATCAGTTTAAAATGGAGTTTTCTCCACCTGCAAGCCTCGCACAGAGCATTCCTTTTTGTCCTGGAAGCACAAAGCTTGGATGGACACAAAGCAAATCCTTGTGGCCAAAGAAATCCTTCCCTTATCCCTGAGCAGGGCTGGAAAGCACAGAGGACTGGGAATGGGTTTGTTTGCAGATCCCAATCTCAGAGTGAATTCATGCTGACACACCTTAAATGAATCAGGAGCCAATCCCCAGAATAAAGAGGCACTTTTAATTTTTACCCCACTTCAGGCCTGTTCCAGGTGGGATATTTTGCTCTTTTAAGGTAAAAAAAGAGAAAGATTTTGGGTTTTTTTCTTAAAAAAAGGTTTTAAGCAGCCTGAATTTTTAAGCAAATTGAGTTTTTAAGCCAGCTGGATTTGTTTTTCCCTGTGTCCAGCCCCTCAGGGCTCACTCACTGTCACAGTGTCACATCCCAACACCACGGACAGGTCCCCAAAGCCGTAGCTCAGGGTGTAGCCGGCGCCGGTGCCCAGGAAGGTGGAGGACAGGCTGTGGTTGAACCTGGCATGATCCTCTGCAGGGACAGAAGGTGACAGCCCCCAGGTCACAGCCCCGACCCCACAGAGACAGGCATCACAGGGAATGGGGCATAAATCCAGTCCCACCGGGTTGGTGGCCCCAAACCCCCTTGGGTGGCCCTGTCCCAGCTGCCAGGGGTGTCCCCAGGGGTGTCCCCAGGGGTGCTCACCACAGGCTGGGCTCTGGCAGTAGGTGGAGGGCACCCACAGGTTGGCAGAGCCGGTGTCAAAGATCACCAGGAAATTTTGGGGAGGGGTCCCGATGCCGATCTCCCCGAAGTAGAAGGTCTGTGAACGAGAGCTTGGGTGGGTTTCTGCTCCTGCCTGCTTTTTTGAATGAGGTTTCTGAACCCCAAAGCGCTGCTTATGGGCCTGCAGGGCACCAAATCACAAAAAGGGACAATGATTTGCCCTGGGCAGGGTCAGGAATGGTGTGGATCCACCCTGGAAACATCAATTCTGCTTTTCTGGAGAAGGGATTTCCCTGTCTCAACTGCAGCTGATGCCTCCTGCCCTCCCAGCCCCACCCAGCCCACGGGGCCAGCCTAAACCCCGCAAAAAACCCTTCCCTAAGCCCTGAACTGGGCAGTGGGAAGGAGCTGAGCCCCCCCAGCAGCCAGGAAAGCCAAGAAGGGCTTCCCAAAGAGCCAAGCCAGCCCAGAGGGGAAAGGAAAAGCTCCAGCTCTCACATCCAGGTGGTTCAGCAGAGGTTCATAAGCCACAGCCCCTCCGAGCTGGTATTTCCTCCCCGGATCCCCTCGCAGGTCGCTCAGGAACTCCTCGGGCAGCCCCTTCTCTCTCATCACCTCCCGCACGGACCTGCCCTTCCTCAGGGTGATCCTGTGGGGCACAGAGATCCAGCTGGGCACCCCGTGCTGGGGCTGAGCCCCTCTCCAGGCAGAGCCCTCATCCTCACCCTCATCCTCTCCATACCCCTCACCCTGCCTCCAGACCCCTCATCATCATCCTGCCCAGACCCTTCATCATCATCCTGCCCAGACCCCTCATCATCATCCTCGCCCCCAGACCCCTCACCCTGCCTCCAGACCCCTCATCCTCACCCCATACCCCGCATCCCAACCCCATGCCCCTCATCCTCATCCTTGTCCCCAGACCCTTCATCATCCTTGCCTCCAGACCCCTCACCCTGCCTCCAGATCCCTCATCCTCACCCTCATCCTCACCCCAGACCCCCCATCCTCACCCCAGATCCCTCATCCTCACCCCAGACCCCCCATCCTTACCCCATCCTCACCCCCAGACCCACCTGAGCGTTCCCTCCCCGAGTGGGAGGCACAGCAGGGTCAGCAGCAGCCCCCACATGTCCCTGGCGGTGGCGGTGGCTCGGTGGCAGCTCCGGGGCCAGGACAGGCTGGGAATGGGCAGATCCGTGCCCAGCTCCTTCCTCCTGCCCTCGCTCCCTGCTCCCACCCTCGCTTTGGTCACCACATCCACCCTGATTTCCCTCCTCACCCAGCTCAGCGCCTCCCATACCGAGACCAAACACGGGACGTCTGATAAAAAGCGAAATGCTGTCCTTATCACCCAGGTAAAGGCTTTTTCTCTCGAGCTTTCCAGAAAACAAAGGCAAAAAAACACACACACCCTTTCCAGGGAATGGAAATTCCTGCTGCTGGTGTTCTGGGACTGGGCAGGAGCAGCCGTGTTTCAGGTGCCTGCAGACCTGCTGGCCGCTTCCATCCAAGTTTTTGGGCATGGAATGATGCTTGGAATCTTCAGAAGCTCGGAAATCCCCCCGAGTTTCCCTTTCTCCTCCATCGCATCCTGATGGATCTGCCTTGGCCTGGGCAGATCCTGCAGGGAGCAAAGGGGACAGTGAGGAGCAGCAGGGACCAGCAGAGCCTGTCCCCTCCTGCCACCACCACCCTGTTTCCAGCAGAAAATTCCCATTCCAGAGGGAGGAGGAGGAGGAGGAGGAACGTCCTTCCCCACTGTCCACGCCCACTTAATCTCGGTCCCAGCGCACTCAGCCTGTGTCAATATTTTGACACAAAGCTCGGAGCACTCCGTGTCCTTTCCCCCGGGAAGTGACAGAGCCGTGAGCACATCTGGGAACGAGCTCCGGTGATAAAGAACATCCAAGGAACAGCTCTGGATCCTGGGAAAGACCCAACCTCCCCTCGCCCAGGGTGTTCCCCGTCCCCTTCAGCCACACCCTGCAATTCCTGATATTCCCAGGGCAGTTTTCCCAGGCTGGGCAGCCCCACTTCAGGGTTTAGGGGTCATTTGGGTATCGTGACTCACCTCACAGCCTCAGATTCCCGCTTGGATAAACCACAGGGCTTTGGCAAACCTTTTCCAGCCGCAGGGAAGCTCAGGGGGTTCTCCCCTGAGGCTTCCCGAGGGTTGGAGGTGGAATCTGCCCATCCTTGGGGCTTTATCCCCGGGCCTGGAGCTCATCCCAGCGCTTACCTTGCTGGAGAAAGGGATTGTGAGCCACGGAACCCCTCAGGCTCAGGCCAACAAACCCAGGGGCTCAGAGACCATTTGGGATTTTCGGGTTTATTTGTTACAGGAGGCGCTGAGGACACACCCACACACAAATCCCGAGGGATGGGGACGGAAAGGAACAGAAAGGTCCCTGGGAATGCCGTGGCACTCCATGGGCCGGGAGAGGGGCCGGAATTTGCTCCCTCTAGGCCGACAGGGCGAAGCCCACGCGGTTGTTGGCCATGTCGAAGACGGTGTAATATTCCTTCAGGAAAATGTCTCCCAGGATCCAGAGGGGCTGCCCGTCCTGGGAGGGCAGGTAGGTGACCTCGATGCCCAGGGTGCAGTAGCCATTGCTCTGCAGGAGGGGAATAGCGGGGGTCAGCACCTCCAGCAGGCGCAGGGCGAGCGGCGCCGCTGCCCGGGGAGCTCCGCGCTCCTCCCAGAGCCGCGGGAATTCTCCGGATGGATCCCAGACCCCTCATCCTCACCCCCATCCTCACCCCAGACCCCTCATCTTCATCCCCAGACCCCTCACCCTGCCTCCAGACCCCTCATCCTCACCCCCATCCTCACCCCAGACCCCTCACGTACATTCAGGACGTAGGCGGAGGGGGAGAGCGGGAGCTGAGCGCCGCCGATGCTGAAGGTGATGGGGGGCATGCTCTGGGTGTCATTGCAGTCCACTGCGTACTGTGGGGACACGAGGTGGTGGCAGGGAGGGGACAGAGGCCATCGCGTGCCAGAGTGACCAATGCTCCCTCCCCTGGCACCGTGGGATCATGGAATGGTTGGGGTGGGAAGGGAACTTAAACATCACCCAGAGCCTCTCCACACTTTCCACCATCCCAGGCTGCTCCAGCCTGGCCTTGGACGCTCCCAGGGATCCAGGGGCAGCCACAGCTTCTCTGGGAAATCCATTCCAGGGCCTCCCCACCCTCACTGAGAGGAATTCCTCCCTGTATCAAACCTAAATTTCCTCTTGTTCAATCTGAACCCATTTCCCCTTGTCCTGTCACTCCAGGCCCTTGTCCCAAGTCCCTCTCCAGCTTCCCCGTAGCCCCTTCAGATCCTGGAACGTGCTGTGAGGTTTCCACACCATGTTCTCCTCTCCAGGCTGAACATCCCCACCTTTCTCAGCCTGATGTCCCCTCATCCTGTCACGCCTGCAGTCCCTTGTCCTGCAGCTGCCACATGACTTTTGTGGGCTCTGATTCCCATGCAGGCTCCCCACTGCTCCAGACCCCCCACAATCCCCACACTCACTCCATAGCTGGTCTCCTGGGCTCCCAGGGCCTCCAGGATGCTCTGTATGTACTCCTGGGGCACGGTCAGCAGGAATGTCCCCGTGTCCACAATGGCCTGGCAGCCCTGGCTGCACCAGCCGGTCACTGACTGCCCGATGGCAAACCTGGCAGGGGAACGGGGACAAGGGCATGGCTTTGGGCACCTGCTGGCCCCTAAACCCAAAACATCGAGTCCCAAACCCTGCAAAGCTGCAGCTGAGCCACGGCATGGTGGCCAGAGGTACAAACACCACTCACTCCTCAAGTGCCACCTGCCAGTAAAGCTCCTGTGTCACCGGCACCCACGTGATGTCCCCCTGGAAGAGCTGAGGGTCGACACCCCCAAGGATGAGCTCTCCCCCATACTCATAGGTGGGCTGGCTGCAAAAAAGAAACAGTCACAGCAGCAGAGATCAGGAAATCTGTGTGGTAATCATGGGCTAGAGAGGGATAAATCCCCAGGGAACCCTCATGGGGACAGGCAGGGCACACCAGGACCTGCAGAATGCCCTGAAAGGTTTTACCGTGAGAAGTAAAAGCTGAAGATGGGCTCAGCGAGCTGGTTCTGCTCCAGCATCCCCTCCAGAGCCGTGGCCAGCCCTCCCACTGCCAGAGAGGGGTAGGCCATGCCCAGGATGCCATCGAAATCCGCAAAGTAGAAAGGCTGGGTGGGCTCGTCCTGGCTGAGCCCGAACGCCTGGTTTGTGACAGTGATGCTCTGGATCTGCAAGGGAAGGGGATCCGAGGTCAGCCAGGCAAAGCCGAGGTGGGGCTGCTGCTCTGAAAGCGCTGCAGGGTCACAGCTGCTGCCAACAGCGCCAGGCAGAGGGGAAAATTGGGAAAAAACCCCAGGAATTGGGTTAAAACCCAGCCCAAGGCCAGCTGGGTGACTGAGGGTGGCAGGAAAGGCTTCGTGTCTGCCCAGGGTTTGTCCAAGTCCAACACAGGACATGAGATCAGCCCTTAGGCTGCTCCAGGGCTCATCCCATGGGGCAGGACACGGCAGGGGAGGCAGGGATGGCACGGGCAGCACTCACCCTGAGCGTGTCAGAGCCCAGCACGATGGTGACGGAGCCGCTGCCGTATGACACGGTGGAGGACTGGCCACTGGGGGTGAAGGTGGCCGAGTCACTGGCCTTGAACTTGGCGTGGTTGACTGGGGGAGAGAGGAGAGAGGAAAGCCCTGGGCATGGGCTGCAGTGGGATTTCACTGCTGGATATTCCCCTGGGATAATTCCCAAGGAGCAGTTCCTGTGCTGCAGTGGGATTTCACTGCTGGATATTCCCCTGGGATAATTCCCAAGGAGCAGTTCCTGTGCTGCAGTGGGATTTCACTGCTGGATATTCCCCTGGGATAATTCCCAAGGAGCAGTTCCTGGGGATGGGGACAGGCTGCTCCTCTGTCCCGTGGTTCTCTTTCAGGCTGTGGGCTTTGAATCCCAGTTTTGCCCGGATCCCTCTCCAGGCATTTTAGCTTTTCTGTTTTTCATACATTTGTAATCCTGCAGTTCTTTAGTGCAGACTGAACTCCACGGACAGCGCTGGCTGCTCTCTTCACATCACAGGGGGCAAAAGGGCAAAGCCCTCACTGTGAAATCCCCATCGCTCTCCCGCAGTTCCCAGTTTTCCTCTTCCCTCTCCCCGGCCAGGAAGCACCCCTGAGATTCCTGAGATGGCTGTGGGAGTTCAGCCATCGAGCTCTGAGCTTCCCCAGGAAGGCAGCAGCTATCCCAGATCAGCATCAGGGTCATTTTTGGTCTGGCATCGTGATATCCCCACCGTGACAGGGGAAGGATGTGGAAGAACAGGGACAACGACGTGGCTTTGGGCACCCTCTGGCACCTAAACCCATCTTGGCTTGGTCAGTCTGGGATGCTCTAAAACACAGGGAGCCTGGAGCCCTGCAGTGCCGGGACAGTGGGTACTAATTAGTGAGTGCTAATTACTCCTAGGAGCAGTAACAGCTCCGCTCACAGCACCCCGGGGTACTCACAGCAAGCAGGACTCTTGCAGTCCGTGGAGGGCACCCACAGGTTGGAGGAGCCGGTGTCGAAGAGCACCAAAAACTTTTGGGGGGGCTCCCCGATGCTGATCTCCCCAAAATAGGAGGACTGGGGAAAAAAACAGAATCTCCATTGGCCACAGGCTCAGGGACAGACCAGGATTCCCCCTGGCATCTTAAACCCACCCAGGCAGGAGCAGACTGAGCTCTCATCCTGCTTTTACTCCCCCTCAAAATTAAATATTAAATCATTATTGTGGGTTTGTTTCATACAGAAAAGCTTCGCTCTTTGTGGCTGGGGATCAACTTCCTTGAGGTTTAAACCAGAAGCTTAAAAGAGTGGGGAAAAAAGCAATTTAAGAGTGGGGGGGAACAGCAATTTGTCAGTCCTGGAGGCTCAGGGGTGTCCAGATTGCTGTGGCAGCTGGGAAGGAGGAAGGGCAGGCAGGGAGGGGGAGTGTGGGGCACTCACATCCAGGTGGTTGGTGATGGGCTCCCTCACCACCGAGCCCTGGCTGGGCTGGTATTTCTTCACCGAATCGTATTTAATGTGCTTCAGGAAATCATCCAGCACCCCAGCTGCCCTCATCTTGT